ATTGTTACTCTGGCTTGTTTCCTCCTCATACCCATTTGCATGGTAAATGTTTTTCCATTCCCTCACTTTCAGTTTGTATATGTCTTTAGGTCTGGCCAGGTAGCTAAAGCTGAAGTGGACACATGCCAAGGTGTCCGAAGATTCTGTGTTGATGGCAGCTGTCTGACAGGACAGCTGAAGTTGATGTGGGATGCCACTGGTGTGCCCTGGGATGCTCTGAGCAAAGTGTGTCTCATTGAGGGGGGAGCTGGAGCTTAGGTGATATGCAGGCCCAGAGGTCCCTGAGCTCTCTACACAGAGGATGCTCTGATGGGACAGTTAAAACTGAGGTGGATGCACTCCAGAGGGCCTGGGTCTCTATATACAGAGGGCACCTTGGCAGGTTAGTGGAGCTGAAGTAGATGTAAATGGGTGTCCCAGGACTATCTGTAAAGAGAGTACCCTGAAGGGGGACATCTGGACCTGAGACAGGATACAAGGCAGGAGGTCCTGGGATGCTCTGCATAGGAGGTACCTTCATAGGACAGTTAAAGCTGAATTGGTTGCAAACCTGGGTGCACCAATGGTCTCAGTTCTGAGGGTCCTCCGGCCAGGCAACTGGAACTGAGTCTGGTATAGTCAGGTGTGTTCTGCGGTGCTTTGCATAGGGTATGCTCTGTGGGGTGGCTGAAACCAGTGCAAGCACCAGCCATGGGTTTCTAGGGTACTTTCTGCAAGGCATACCCTCTCAGACAGCTGGGTCTGAAGCAGACATCAACTGAAAGGTTCTGGAGCGCTTTGCACCAGGGGTGCCCTAAAAGCTGTCTGAAGCAGTGTGGGCCTTTTGTGTTCTGGGGTGCTTTGCACCTGTGTCACATTGGTGTGAGGGGTGGAGCTGTAATGAACACTAACCCGGGTGACCTGATGTGCGCTGCCCTTTGGCTGCCTTGATGGGGTGGCTGTGGCTTATATGAGCTATGGGTCTAGGGCTCACTGAGGCGGCAGGTCAGCTAGGGTATCTGGACCATGCATGGGTCCATGCTTTCAAAGGGGAGCATAAACCACATCCGTCAGATCCTCCCAACCAGAAAGTGTTCCAGCAGCAACCCTAGCCATCTGGTGGAGTGCTAGTGCTGGCTTTTATATGCTAGTTGCAATTTTAAACTTCATCTTTTTGAAGGGAAAAGAAAAAAAAGAGGGGGGGGGGGAGGGAAAAATAAAAAGCATAATAGAAATATAAGGCAAAAACAAATATAAAAAACCATTTATTTTTAAATTAAATTAAAATTTTCTCCCCATGCCCAAGTGCAACTGGGACTAGTGTTGGCTTGTGTTCCAGGGCTTGTTGAGGTGTTGAGCCAGTCCCTCTGATCCAGGGAGTGTTCCTGCAGTTCCTTTGCCCTTTTTAAAAAAAAAAAAATTATCTTAAAGATTTATTTGAGAGAGAGAGAAAGAAAGAGAGCTTGGGTGGGGAGGGGCATAGGGAGAGAGAGAAAGAATCTCAAGCAGACTCCTTGCTGAGTTTAGAACCCCACACAGGGCTCGATCCCAGGACCCTGAGATCATGACCTGAGCCAAAATCAAGAGCCAGTCACTTTAACTGGCTGACTGGGCCACCCAGGGACCCCTCCTTTTCCCCTTTAAACCATAGCTTTTTTTTCTGCGTCCCAGCACAACTGGGACTGGTGTGTGCTTGCAGTCCCAGGGCTTACTGAGGCTGCCAGTCAGTTATGGCAACCAGACTCTGCTCTCATCTGTGCTTTTAAGGTGGAGAGGGAATGTAAACCTGTCATTCTCCAGTTTCCTATGACCTGGAAAGCATTCCCTCAGCTCCTCCATGGTGTGACAGGGTTCTACAACTTCTCTTTTATATGCTAGTTGCTCTTTTAAACTGTTAGGTTTCTTTTCCTTCCTTCCTTCCTTCCTTCCCCTCCCCTCCCCTCCCCTCCCCTCCCCTCCCCTCCCCTCCCCTCCCCTCCCCTCCCCTCCCCTCCCCTTCTTCTTCTGTGCCCAAGGACAGAGGAATAAGTTCCCCATCCTTTAGCATTATCCCTCCTCATTGCAGTTTGCAACATCAGGGGTAGGGGTTCTCTTTGTTACCATGTCTCCATCTCTCTTGCTGTTATTCTATCTTTTATTGTGCAGAAGCTGTTCAGTTGACCCTCAGTTCCTCCTGTCGCTCTTCAGGAGGAGCTGTCCTATAAATAGGTTTAATTTGGAGTGTTCCATGAAGGGTGTGAGGTCAGGGTCTTTCTACATCACCATCTTGGACTGGAACCACCCTCATTATGATTGGTTTTCAGGATTTTGTCATCAATTTTTCATGGTATATATTTATGATTTGACCGTAAAAAAATTCTACTGACTCACCATTACAAATATAATAGTAAAATGATGCAAAAATATATACTATGCAAACACTAGTCTAAAGACAACTGGAGAGCCTCTATTAATATCAGTCAAAGACATTAGAATGAGGAGAATCATTAGGGACAAATGAGCTCATTTTATAATAATAAAGGGATTAATTCACTAATGGAACATGAAAGTGTATACATAAAAGAATTTTAAAACATATGAAACAAAAACTGATGGGATGGACAAACCTACTTCTCTATTCTTCTGTAGTAATTGTTGGGACAACTAGAAAATCAGTAAGGATATAGAAGATTTGATCAACACTGTCAACAACTTTTCCTTGGTTGACATTTATAGAACACCCTAACCAATAACAGCAGAATACACATTCTTTTCAAGTTAGTGTGAAACACTGACCAATATAGACCATATGCTGGGCAGTAAAATAGTTTCAATAAATGTAAAAAGATAAATTGTACCGAGTATGTTCTTTGATCACAATAGAATTAAAGGAGAACTAAGTAACAGAAAATATCTGAAAATCTCCAGTTGGTAATTTAGCAACATATTTGTAAATAGTCCATTATTTCACAGAATAAATCACAAGGGAAGAGAAAATATTTTGAACTGAATGAAATTGAAAGCATTAAAATTTGTGTGATGCAACTAACATGGTGGTTGAAGGTTAAGTTATAGCTTTAAATGTATATAGTAGAGAAAAATAAATTTTCCAATCCAATGATGTGACCTTCCACCTTAAGAAACCAGGGAAATTACAAATAAGGAGCAAAATAAAAAGTAGGAAATTACTAAATAAGAACAGAAATCAATGGTTTAAACATAGCAAAGTTAAGAGAAAAATCAATAAAAAGCTCATTTTTGAAAAAAGCAATAAAAACAATTGAACTCTAGAAAAACTGTTCAAGAAAGGAGTACCCCTAACTTACCAATGTCAGAAATTAAAAATGGGATATCACTATATGCCCTCTGGATATTAAAAAATAATAGAGTATTTTGACCAACTTTATGCCAATAGATCTGAGAACATATATGAAATGTATGAATTCCTCAGAACATACAAATGATCAAAATAGAAAAAGATAGAAAAATCTCAGTAGTTCTATCTCCATTAATGACATTGATTTTACAATGTAAAACCTTACCATTTAGAAAACTCCAGGCTCTCCAGTGAATTCTATTATCTACTTAAGGAGAAAATAATATCAATAACCAATCCTACACTAATTATTTTCAGAAAATGGAGGAGGAGGGAATATTTCCCAACACATTTTCTAAACCCAGATTTTCCTGATATCAAATCCAGATAAAGACATTAAAGAAAATATCATAGGGACTAATATTCTTCTGAACATAGACCAAAATATGGTTTAATTGAATCCAGGAGTATATATTATAAGGATAATACATGACCTGGTGGAGTTTATCCTAGGAATGCAAGATTGGTGTAATGTTTCAAAATTAATCAATGGAATTACCACATTTACAGATTAAAGGGAGAAAACCCCCCCACATGATCACTTCAATAAATGCAGAAAAAGAATTTGACAAAATTCAACCAGTTTATTTGTATGGCAATCAGTCTTGGAAGCTAATGATAGTGTCTCCTTAGGAGCAAGGACAGGTATACGAACTGCTCTATCTAATAAAGGTAATGTTTCCACCAAGAAACGTTAGGTATGCATAGGTATGCTTAGTGTGCTCATAAAAGATTTGAATTTGAGTTCCCTAGGTTCAGAGTTCTCTCCTGTAATGCAAAGTGCTGTGTGACCCTTTTCATGTTGCCTATAGGAACTAGGGCTTGGAGAATCAATGCAAAAGTGCTGGTGTTTTGGCTACTGCTACTGCTGTGAGTAACAAACTGCTCTTCATCTCTGACCCAGGACTCTCATGTCTTCCACTAGAACCCATGACACTGTGTCAGGCCAACATTAGCTTATAAGTTCAGCAAAATCTCAAGGATGTTCACAGTTTTGACAATATAAAAGTGTATAACTAATTCCAGTTTCTAATTAAAAATTAATTAAAGGTAATAATAATAATATATAAAAGTGAATTTAAAATAATTTTGTGGAGAGGGTGCCTGGGTGCCTCAGTCAGTTAAGCACCTGACTCTTGAATTCAGCTCAGGTCATGATCTCAGGGTCCTGAGATCAAGCCCCACATCAGGCCCTGTTCAGGATGGGGAGTCTGCTTGAGATTCTCTGTCTTCCTCTCCCTCTGTCCCTCCCCACCCCCTGCAGTGCTCTCTCTCTCTCTCTCAAATAAATAAATTAAAAAAAATGATTTTGTAGAGAAAAAAGTACTGGACAAAGCATTTTGAAATATTGATTTTAGAAATTTATTTACATATCTTAGATGGAAGCAATTGATACAGTTGACTTGGAATTCCTGGGGGAAAAAAGAGAATTTTTTTAAGGCAGGAGTACCAAGTATGGTTCAGAAAACAAAAACAAAAACCCCACTCCCTGCCAAAGTTGCTTTATGCATCTTCAACGTATAGAAGTAATATAAATAAAATAACATGAATTTTATCAAAAGAGCAAAATTCCTTTTAAAAGAGCAAAAGTATTAATTCCAGTATCTAATAAATTAGACACAAAACTTACAAGACTAAATTATATTCATCTTAAAAGTTTCCCTCTTTAATTACTGTGCTCTGGCTTGTGCCCAATAGGTGAAAAATACCTTAAACACATCTCTATTAATCCACCAAATTGCATACCTTTCAAATCAGGAGCGAGAGGTTTACTCCTAGGACCAGAGGCGTCTTCATAAATATCAAAATGGAATTTCTCTCTTCTTGAAATATAACCCATTTTTGATAGGTCACTCTGTGTACTACATATTTTTTCACTTAGGTTTAAATAATCTCTTTGCAGATTCCGCATCTCAAATTCTAAGGTATCCCTTTCATTTTCTATACTTCTTACATAGTTTTCTAAAAGTATTTTGTCTTCTGAAAGTCTATTGATGCTGTTTTCAAATTTCATATTTTCTTTACTATGTTTTTTTAGTTCTTCTTTTAGAATCTGATTATCTGTTTTAATTTCCATTACCATTTTTGATAACATTTCACATTCATTGCCCATTTCTGACAAACTATTTTTATAAATACTTGCTTCTGATTTTGCATTTTTTATTTCTTTCAGAAAATTCTCTTCTGCAGTAGATTGGTATGTTTGAATATTCTCAATTTCTCTTTCCATCATTTGTCTAGCAGCAATAGATTCTTGTAATGCTGTTTCAAGATTAAGTTTTTCATTTTTAACTGTTTCTATTATTTGGAGAAGTGTCTCTTGTTCAGTTTTTGCCAACCTTTCTTTCTCTTTTAGTTGCATTATCTCTAGTTGGTTTTCCTTCAGTTCATTTTCAACTGAGCTTCTTTCCTTTAGAAGCTGGTATGTTTTTTTCTCTAGCATTTCCTTTTCATCTTGTATCAATAGAATATTTGTTTTCATTGATTCCATTTCTATACTCATTCGATTATTTTCATTATTGACAATGGCCATATCATTTTGAGCTTTGTGTTCCTTACTTTTTAGTTGATCTAATGTTTCTATCATTTGTTGCTTCTCCAAAGAAAGTTGACTGTTTTTTTCCTCTAGAGTTTTATTTTGTCCTACAAGAACATTATATTTGCTAATTATTTTTTTTAATTCTTTAAGACATTCTTTACCATCTTCTTCTGTTTTAATTAACTTGGACTGAATAGCATTCTTTTCTTCAACCAAATTCTTAAGTTGCTTTTCATAGGTTTCAATTTTCTGTATCAGAGATTGGGTAGTAAAGACAAGAGGTTTTATTTTGGTTTTAAGGGTTAGATTTTTATTCTCTAGTTCTGTGACTTTTTTCTGTACCTGCATAGATTCTTTTAGGTAATTCTGTAAGTACTGAATTTTTGCAACACACTGCTCAGTAACAGAACTGACTTTGGATGTTTTCTCATTTTCAAATATTATTGGTCCTTGTTTTACTACTAATGGTTCTGTTTCTTTGTCTTTCATTTCATATTTTGTTGGGTCAAAGAATGACAGCGTATGTCTTGGAACTCTGGAATGGAATTTTAAATCTGTAATATTCTTGCAAGTGATAGGAATTTCTTTGCTGTTTTTCTCATTTCTCTTTCCCCTGTGTATTTCACTCTTAGATAACCTTTTACATTTCCTGCAAAAGTTCACATGCAATTTTGACACTGTTTCCCTGAGTGGGAGTAATTTGTTTACTAATGCCTCTAATTCTGAAATTCTCTTTGATTTTATATCTTCATTTAAGTTACTTTCTATATTTTCTTTCTTAATAGAGTTAATTTTTTCCTTGTGACTGGGGGACAGGTCATATTTATCATTGCTTGGGACATTTGTATCAGTTTTTAAAGTTTGAAGTTCATTTGTAAGTGCCAGTTCTCTATCATGTGACTTTTGTAACTCTTCCTTCATTTGTTTGATAGAATTGCAGATATCATCTAAATTTTCACAAAATCCATGCTTGAGGAAAGGCTCAGTAATTTTGAGTTTATCCAGAATTACTGTATCAGCTTGAGACATCACATTTTGGGGTGCACGAGGTAGAAAACTATAAAGGTTATTATAATTCTTCAACATGTCAGAATTCTCTGAAAGGTTCATAGTTATGTTTGAAGCTTTATTATCTGTTGGAGTTCTCTGAGTTAATAGGTCCTTGAAATGTATCTGGGATGGAATATCAATACCTTGAGAGATATCATTGCTGAATTTTTCTTCTGTTGAATGAGTAGTATTAGACTCCTCAAAATGATGAATTTTCTCCATAGAAAGGATTTCTTGATTCTTTATGGGCTAGTGACAATAAAAAGCATACTATAAATGTACTATCATTTGCCACATGACAAGAAAATCAAGAAAATATTTTGTGGAGGATTTATTTTTACAACTAAAATGAACATTCTATCCATTTTCTACAAGAAAATCAAGAAAATATTTTGTGGAGGATTTATTTTTACAACTAAAATGAACATTCTATCCATTTCTTCTCTACAGGCAGAGAAGTCTAAAAATGTGATTCATTTTCTCCAGAAAAATCTAACAGATATTTTGAGATCTGTAACTTTGGTCTTCACAATTTGCTTAGAAATCACTTATTTCTGCAGTAGGTGACCTACATGGGCCAATCCTTTAATTGCAGAAATAGAAATTTAGAATCCCCCAAGAGACCATCATATGTGGATGGGGGGAGATAGAAGCAATAGGTCAAATGCAATAGGAAGTTTAAGGAAAATGAGTATTCCACTTCTGGGCTGTTTGTCAACATTAGCTTGCATACCTATTTCAGATGATTCTAGGGCTGTGACTATTCTAAAAATGCGAGTTCTGATCAAGGTAGACAGAGTGAGTGACTCAGTTCCAACCTGTTTCTAGAGAATTCACCTCAGGTCTTGGTCAGTCTTTTTTTTTTTTTTTAAGATTTATTTATTTATGAGAGAGAGAGAGAGAGAGAGAGAGAGAGAGAGAGAGGCAGAGACACAGGCAGAGGGAGAAGCAGGCTCCATGCAGGGAGCCCGACGTGGGACTCGATTTTGAGACCCCAGGATCACGCTCCAGGCCAAAGGCAGGCGCCAAACTGCTGAACCACCCAGGGATCCCTTGGTCAATCTTAAAGTAGAAAAAATCCTAAGTGGATATAGAGGCTAAGAAAAGCTGCCTTATATTTTAATTTACTTGGGAATCTTTTAGGTATTCCTATGACAGTCGATTTGCCCCAGAAGAAGGTTTAGAATGTAACGATAAACTGGTTGTAGTAACATTTTTGTAGTAACTAAATATAGAAATAGTTTGGACAGAATAACATACCAAAGCTTTTTCAATGTGTGTGCCGAATACTAGATTTTTTTCTGAGCTAAATTGTGGGTTTTCTACATCAATAATGCTTTTCTTCAAGATTTCACTGATTTCAGACTGTACCTTTAAAAAATAAATTGATAATGTTAGAATTTAATTTCAGATTTATAAACTTATGAATGTCTAGAAATAATAGATATTATTATTGAAAAATACCTTTAAATTTCCTGACATAAAAATTCTTTTCCATCATATAGAATATAAATTAAATATTTAATTTATCATAATCTTTATCATTAAAGGAATTTTTTAAAGAAAATTATGCCTTTATTATATGGTTTTAAAATCAGAAAAACTTAATTTCATAAAGCAATAAAATTTTAAGAACTATATTCAAGTAATTTTGGATGTTTGATTTTTATATTATTGAATAAAGCAGAGATTTTTTATCTCTGTCATCAGAATAAATTTATTCTGTCATCTTCAGGAGGAGTTTGTCTTCTCTTGCATTTCCCTGCAGTTGCTTTTAGTATAAGAACATGATGATGAACTTTGTATTCAGTCTGTAGTAAGTATGTGTTATGTTACCGATGACCAATACCCATACCCTATTCTTCTGTTAATATTATCCCTTATTTGTTCTGGATAAAGTCCATGTGCTTTTGGTTATCCCATTTCCAGCTGCATGTGACTAAGAGTTAACCAGTCAGAACCCTGCCTTCCTTTCCACAGTGATTTGTTCAAGCATTGCATATAACCCAATCTTGGTTAGTCAGAATCAGGTCAAGAATTTCAGTATCAACTGTTACGGGAGAAAAGCATGGCCTCTTTTCTGAATGGGATCTGGAAGGATAAAAGCCTAGAGCTTCTAGCAGCCCTTTTGCTACCACATGGAGCTGAGAATCCAGGAACCAGTGAGAATCCAGGAACCAAATCTCCCATTTGTAGATCATATATAGGTAGCACTTTAAACATGCATTAAAAAAAACAAAACAAGTGCTATTTCTTTTTGGCTCATATCCAAATTCAACTATAATAGAATGTAGTTTCCTCCAAACAAATTTTGATCCTGGAATATGTTGTGGCCTTATTTTATTAAATTCTACATGAACTAATAAGTTGGCTAGTGATCATTAGCTTACAAATGTGGGGTGATATCTTGTGTTTGGATATTTCCCATTTAGAGATCAAAAGAAACATACCATGCTAACATTCTGCAAAGTCTGTATTCGGAGAGCCTGAAATGATTCCAGTTGATGCTGAAGGGCCTATAAAAAAATTAAACATGGTATGAAATCAGACCATTTTGAAATTGCTATTATTTCTTTTTATATATATCCCCCAAAGTTGCCTATTACTAGAAAGGATCACATGAGGGTCAAAAGACTCAGATTCTTAGTCATTCTTGCTAATTTTTCAATGCATTTTCATGAAGATTTTTGTGGAAAACCCATGTTTATTTAGGAAGGATTTATTCTGAAAGAGATCAGCCTTTACACAAACATTTGGAGAAAAAATGAAAACGAACTTACTTTCAATGCTGATTGTGGTTGGATTTGATTTTCTGATTCTGACATGCAGCCATATTCTAAAGAGCAAAATTGAAAAACCATGTGATCTAATTCTTAAGTTTTATTTTTAAACAACTGTAATAGAAAGTAGTCTCCTAACTTTCTTGGGTAGTGAGACAGAGATAGTAAGAATTTTGATGTTCACATTAGGAAGAACTCAATGGGAGTCACATAATAAGGTCAAGATAAATTTTCATGTGGCTTAAAATACCTACTTGAGATTGTAATAGTGGTTATACTTTTATAATAAACCATTAACTTGTAATGCCAAACTTGTAACTCTCAACTCGATTATATTTATTTTTGCAATATAAATTGCATTTAAAAAGAAAAAACAATCTAAAGAAAAAAAAACACAAACCAGTCTCATAATCCTGTTATGGGAGACCTTTGACAAAATACTGTATAGGTCTTTAGTGTCTATGAAATGGCCATGTAATGCTTTTCCTCATCATGGAAAACAAATTGGATTAACAGAGCATGATTTTTGTTATGCCTTTAGGCAAAGTACTGTAAAGATCCATGTGTTCCTTCCTAGAAAATAGACTATAGATCTGTAACAGGGAAGAGACTATAAATCATTTGCAAATTTCCCAACGTACATCCCTCTTTGTCCAAATAGGCCTTTTGCTTGCTTTGTAAATTGTTATTAAAGAGTTTAAAAAGCATTCTGTCCCAAATGAAATGAGATTTATGATGGAATTTCCCATAGGCTGACAATTTCTGCCCTGAGAGAAGTTTTTAAAAGAGGTCAGCACATCTCCCCTTTGGAATGACAGTCTGCCAGATGTTACAGAAGCTAGTTGCGAAGTATAGGAATCCCCCAACCTCATCTGCCATCTGGCCCTCATCATTGAGAGAGCAACTCTGGTTCAGAGAGTGGAGCTCTTTGGTCAGTTGAAGAATCCCACCTTCATCAGAGGGCAGGGAGGGAAAGTGAGTCTTTTTGGATATTGCTCAGCTTTGCATCTTCCTAGAAATTAAACAGTAGGCTGAAATGCGCATCTCAGAGAGATTAAAAAACAAAACAAAATGAATTCAAGTGAGATCTGGACAAATGCAACAAGGCATCCCAAAGTTTCTCAGACTCTCAGGCTTTTAATAAACTCAAATAAATCAAATTGCAAATCAAAACCAGTATCACCTAGAACTCCACCACCCAGAATTAACTGTTATGAATTTTAGGTACTCTCAGTCAGCTCTCTATGCATATATGCAGAAAAAAAGAAATTATTTTAGAATGTTGGGATCATATTATACATGTAACTTTTGATAAGTAGTATTAGATTTATGTTTATTTTAACAGAATAAAGAAAATCGCAATTAGTTGTTATCACTAGTATTCGGATTTTTTCACTACATGAAGGATTGTTTCCTATGAGATCCCTCTAAGCTAATGAAAGTATATCATGAGAAGGATTAAGAGATTGGAACTTTTATGTTTTTAATGACATGCACTTCCATTGTATTCAGTGTTGATTTAGCCCCTGCCAAGAAGGGGAGTAAATGATCAGAAAATTAGCATTACACTTGCTTTCACATTTACTCCCCACTTTTCATGATATTTGCTTATTACATTATTTTCATACTGTGATATTTTATGGTGTATTACATTTTGTTATGTGATCATAATTTCCACAAAGCTATTTAAACACAAAGATAGGACATTATTATAAATATTTTCAGCCTTCAACTTTATTCTTATGGATTTACTGTTCAAAATTCCATCTCTTTTTTGAATCTGCAGCACCGGGCTCCCTTTTATACACAGGTTTCCTTTGTCTCATTAGAAGGATTTGCAAGTTCAAGGCTAAGTACAGGATTTCTTTTGCTAAAACCAAGTACAAAATATGGGTCAAATTTAAAGACTTGGTAAAGGGCTATATATATACTGCTTCTACATATATTTCCCTCCTTCCATCTCTTTCTTCTTTTTTGACCATAGTATTATTGCAGTTACCATTATACTTCTTTTCATATGGCTCAGTGCAACCTGAGCAACTCTGCTCAGAATTTCTATTTTCTTTGAAATAGTGTAGATGTTTTCTCTTGACATCCTTCTCAGAGTCCATTGGTCTGTTCCTCTGAGATATAGTTTCAGGGCCAGTATGTTTTCCTATCCATTTTCTATAGCCTTAAAATTAGGTGATGGGGTCTGGGGTAAGAGACATCATTTGGAGCTGTGTTAAGCCTCTGTTGGAGGAAGTGATTTCTGTTGTTTTATTGTTGTTCCTTCAGACTGGTTAGAAATCTAGAGGAGATATATCTTATTACTCTATGGAGAGAACTCTCTTGTTTGGTATCATTTCCTCAATTCAGTATGGAGTCCTGGGACTAGGACTGCCACTGTAAAAGTTGTTCTTTACACAAGGGCTCCTGGCCTAAAGATATGTGTGGCTGAGATGCTCCACCACACTCTGCTAATTGGTACCCTATGTCAGTTTGCATATATCTAGAGTTGGATATACCTTTCTCTAATTCATGCAAAGTCAGAACTTCTTTCCTCAGAGCAAAGTAAGACCCTGTTGATCAGTGTCCAGGTTTACCTATCTGTTCTCCCAGCTGCTCCTCTCTACTCATCCAAACCTCAATCAGCAGAAAGGAAGACAGGAGAGGCATTAATGAATATTTTCAGAATTTTGACTTGTTTTATTGCTTTGGAAAGTCAGAAGTCAGTCTGTAGTTTGCCTTGCCAGAATCTTCTGTTTTATTCTTGGCCTCTATTTTCCAATTTTTTGTTCTTTTTCAGGTGTTGCTGGTGAAGTTTTTGCTGGTCTTCTAGTTCTTTTTTTTTTTTTTCTTTTTCATTTCAGTTGGTACTGGAAGAAGGAGATCTGGGATCTTCCTTGGCTCTAAAATCTCTACCTGAAAGTCTAGAATAATTTTTATAAGTTAATGATTTAGGGTTTTTTTTGTTTCACATTTAGTAGTTCATTCCTTCAACATAATTCATTCAAATATTGAGTGTCTAGTATATGGTATGCCCAGTTGTAAGTACTAGAGACACAGCAATGAATAAGACAAACAAAACTCCTGTGTACCTCTCGCAGTTCCTACATTCTGGAGAATGAACAGAAAAAAGAAGCAAACAAAGACATAAACAAAATACTTTCACTTTAAAAAAAAGATTTTATTTATTTATTCGTGAGAGACAGAGAGAGAGAGAGAGAGAGAGAGAGAGAGAGAGAGACAGGCAGAGGGAGAAGCAGGCTTTCTGCAAGGAGCCCAATGTGGGACTTGATCCCGGATCCGAGGATCACACCCTGAGCTGAAGGCAGATGGTCAACTGCTGAGCACCCAGGCATCCCAACAAAATACTTTCAAATAGTGATAACACAAAGAGGATAGGCTATTGTGAAGATGAAGATAACACTGGAGAGACTGGTTAGCAGAGGCATATCCCTGGACTGAATGTGGCGAGTTTTAGCTAGATGTGCTCTGGACTGCTTGTGAAATGAAACTTGTCATCACCTCCAACAGAACCGAGGCCCTGTAAAACTCTGGTCAGGAGATATGATGTGGGCAGGGGTTTGTGCTGGTTTTCTGAGGGAGGAACCTGCCATGCTGAGATTGAAGCAAGCATGTTTGAGAAGGGCAATTCCACTGGGTTCAGCCAAGATTACTATATGATGAGAAGAGGCCAGCTATGGGAACATCTGTAGGAAGATATTTGGAGCAGAGGACATGGCAGGGTCCTGAAGCAGATCTGTGTTTGCTGAACAGAAAATCAATATGGCTGTGGCTTAATAAGCAGATGGAAGCCCATGATGATTAGATGTCATAGGAGGACACAGGGCTAGATTTTATTTAGGACCTTGTGGACCAACCTGAGGAATCTGGCTTTTATTTTAAGTGAAAGAGGACTTCAAACACAAGAATTATTTGAAAAAAAAAAAAAAAGAAAGAAACATTTATAGGTCACTGTACTACATGATAATGGTTATACGGTGGAAATTGTGGGACTACTGCAGTAATCCAAGTGAGGGACAAAAGTATCTTGGACTAGAATGGCAGAGGTAAAGATGGAGAAAAATAGGTGCATTTAGAATAGATTTTAAGAGATAAAGCATTACTAGGGGATTAAATGTGGCTAGAAGAGATGAAAGAAGGATGATTCCTGACTTTTTGGTGAGAGCAGATGGATGATGAATGATGATGTTATTTACTAAAATGGAAAAGAATGGAGTTGGAAGATGTTTTAGGGAAAACTTTTAGACAAGTTTTCTGTTAGTTGTCAAAGTGAACATCAAAAGGCAGTGGGATATTCCCATCTCTCGTTCAGGGGAATGGTTATGAACACTGTATTGGAAAATACAGATGTTACTGCTGGCCTAGACAAAGGCAATTTCTATGCGGTGTCAGGCACAGAAGTTCAACTGAAGTAGCCGGAGAGAATGAAATGTAAAGATTTGTGGGCATTGAGTATACGGAGCTCTTTTGAGCTTTACTGTGGAAATAAATATTAGGGTGCATATTAGAAGAGACGTGCAGGTCAGGAAGAATTTTTTTAACCATGGGAGATTCTAACATGCCTGCTTCCTATTGGAATCATGTAGTAGAAAAGGAGAAGAGTAATTCTGGAGAATGAGGGAGGTTAATTGCAGAAGCTGAGTACTTGAGAATTCCAGAAGAGCTAGGATAAAGGGGAAATGAGCTTTGATTGAGCAGGGACAATTCTTCCATTGAAACTGGGGACAGCAGGAAGAGGAGCAGGAAGATGATGGCAGAGTAGGACCCTAGGCTCATTTTGTCCCATGAACACAACTAGATAACTATCAAATCATCCTAAATACCCCAGAAATTATCCTGAAAAGGATAAAAGACTGACAGAAAAAACTCCACAATTAAAGCAAGAAAGGAGGCCATGTTGAAGAAAATGGGAAGTGTGGAAACATGGTTTAATGGAGATCACAGCTGCAGGAGAAGGAGCCATGGCTGCAGAGAAGAGAGAGAGAAAGAGGAGCACACAGGGGAATGCACAAGGAGAAGGTTGCCCCAAAGCCACTTGTTTAGAAAATGAGAGGGGCTGTATTCCATGAGGTTTTGAAACCACTGGGGCTTAAAGCCAGGAGTTTTAAATATCAGCAGGCTTGCCTGGGATAGAGCTAAGAGAGGACTATGCTGCTCCTAGGGAGAAGGCAGGCAAACAACCAGGGGCAGTCAGTATGGAAATTACAATCTGAAGAGCACCTAACGCACACAGTGAGGAGATTATTTGTTCTTCTTAGAGTATGTTCCTGAGAAACAGCATTCACAGGGACACCTCTGAAGGAACAAAGGAGTTTGCCAGTGCCATTTTCCTCCCCCATCCCTCAGCATAAACACACAGCCACCTGTGGGAAGCAGTGCAGCACAAGCAGTGGTTGCCTAACTTGCTTACCCCAAGCCCCACCGCACTGAGTTCCAGTGGAATAGCCCTTCTCAAACATGCATGACTCAGTTCCAGCATTGCATGTCCCTCCCCCAGAAGACCAGTGCAAACCCCTGCCCACACCATGACTCCTGACCAGAGAATTTTGCAGGGCCTCAGTTAGAGTGGAGGTGATGACAGGTCTCATTTCACAAGCAGTCCAGAGAATTCTAGCTAAAACTCACCACATTCAGGCCAGGGACCAAACACTGCCCAAAGCATGCAAGGAAAGGCTCTGCAGAAGAATGGCCTGAAGGACAGAGCAGCCAGGACACAACAGCAGAGTGCACACACTGCAGATACTCTTTGAAGTGCTAGGCCTTGGGCACTACATGACCTCTTCTCTATAAGGGTATTAATTTCAGGAGGAGGAGGCATAACTGGTTTTTCTAACACAGAAAGAAGGCAGACTTAGATAAAATGTGAAGACAGAGGAATTTATTGCAAATGAAAGAGCAGGATAAGGCCAAGGCCAGAGATCTAAGCAAAACAGATATAAGTAACATGCCTGATGGATAATTTAAAGCAGTGATCATAAGGATACTCACTGGGCTTGAGAGAAGAATAGAAGACATCAGTGAGACCCTTACCACAGAGGTAAGAGTTAAAAAATAATCGGAAATGAAGAGTGCAACAAATGAGAACAGAAACACCCTTGATACAATGAACAGCAGGCTGGAAGAAGCAGAGGAATAAATTAATGACCTAGAACAGAGTAATGGAGAGTAATCAAGTTGAACAAAAGAGAAAAAAAAAGAAGTACAGGCATACTTTGTCGTGCTTTGCAAAGATTGTGGTTTTTTTTTACACACTGAAGGTTTTTGGCAACCCTATGTCAAGCAAGTCTATTGGTGCCATTTTGCTGACAGCATCAGCTTACTTTGTGTCTCTGTGTCACATTTTGGTAATTCTCACAGTATTTCAAAAATATTTGCTTTCATTATACTTGTTATGGTGACCTGTAATCAGTAACTATAACTTGCTGAAAGCTCAGATTATGGTTAGTATTTTTTACCAAAAAAAGTATTTTTTAATTAGGGTATGTACATTGTTTTTTTATAGACATGATGCTATTGCATGCTTAATAGACTACAGTAATATAAACATAACTTTTGTATGCATTGGGAAACCAAAAAATTCATTTGACTCACTTTATTGTGACATTCGTTTTATTGCAGTGGTCTGGAATCAAACCCACAATATCTCTGCCTGTATTAAGTGCATCCCTGAAGCTAAGAGACCAAGGAGAACAAATCAGGCAAAGGAGAACAATGAATTTTTAAAATGCAACATAGTAATGATTCAGTATAGGATTTTAGATACTGGGTAGTCAAAGCCTTATAATTCTCAGGTTCAAATGCAGAGTTTTGCTATGGCAATTCAAATTAATTCCTAGAAGGAACTGTTTTACAAAGCCTAATGAGGTGTGACACTGCATGAGGCTCTATCATGGAAGCCACGGAACCAGGCTGCCTGTGCTTGAATCCTGGCTTTGCTATACATTTGCCATGAGGGATAACTCTAGGTAGTTGCCCAGTTTGTAGAGAAAGCCCTTTGCAGAATGCATGGTGCAAACTAAATGCTCACTACTAATCACTACTGCAGAGACAAAGGTATTACTGATATGATGATGATTCGGTAAATTTAAAATTCCAATTGCGATGGAGGGGAGTGATGACTGCTCAAAACTCCTTGTTTTCCATTTTGTGCCAAATAACCCTCCAGATCCTTACATGGAACTACCGTGCTCCCTACCCCAATTTCCTTTCTGATCCTTTCTCTTACCCCTCCCCTTACTCAATTCTGCTCCAGTCACACCAACTGTTCCTCAACTGTGCCAAGCTTCCCCCTCCCTCACGGCCCACACAGTTGTTTTTCTCTCTGGCTCTTTCCCTGGAAATCCATAGTGATTTCTCCTTTATCTCCTTCGGGTCTTTGCTCAGATGTGATCTGCCAAGTAAAGTTTCCTACCACCCTATTTAAAATAAAATCGCACAACTCATTCACCTCTGACACTCTGTGTTCTCCCCCACTCCCTGTGTACCTTACTTTTCATCATGGGATTTACAAATCCTATTTTACACGCAATCGCCTTTGTTCCTTCCAGTGGCAGGTATGCTTCATGTGAATGGGGATTTTGCATATTTTTTTCACTGTTGGATCCCCAGCACCTAGGACAGCACTTGCTCAAAAATATTTGTTAGATGAATGAATGAATGGATGAATGAATGAAGACTTGGTGGAACAGGGGTGCTAAAAACACCACACTGGGTATCTTGAAGCTTCAGAGTATCCTTCACATCTCCATTCCAATCAACCAAGGGTTACATAGGCTAACCACTTACTCTTTTAAAATTAAAGAGACCTCAGAAATATTATAGAGTTTCTTTTAACTCAGCATTATTTATGTAAATAGGGTTAATAATCTGTTGGTTAGTGTCGTAGATAAGAGAATAGAAAAACGAGAGGGAACGAAGTCATACCTCCTAATTTTGCAGTCCAAGGCAGCACCTGACTTCAAATCCATGGTATTAAACAGCTGCCCTTGCTACACTCTGTTGTAATCCCTCTGCTTTAGCAAGATAGACTGTAGCTCTTAATTAAGCGTATGTGCCATTTTGCAAGTAACTTCATTTTCTGTTATGCTGGCATCTTCCCCCAGGGCCCCAAATCTCACTCATGTTGGAGACCATGTGATCTTGCCAAATTAAAGCACCTCAATTTCTTCTCATCTTAAATGCTCTCTCTGCGGTGAATATTGAGCTGACTCAACCGCTAAACTCTCTGTCAAGACTCTTTCTCCTGGTTGCACAAGGATGTTTGCATAGAAGAGTGGAGAGCTGGCGGGTCAGTGCACTGTCCTGAGGCCTCCAGTGAGATACCGGTGGTCCCTGGACATCCAGTTGTCTTTGGTCTGCTGAGATGTGGCTGCTCCAGTTCTTCTCTCAGGGCCCGTGGCAAGGCATTTGAGGGTCCTGGATTTCTGAAGGTGAAGAAATCCTCTTCTGATCTCTGGTCACTTCTGTCGGTGCTTCTGTCTCTGGATTCCCCATAAGCCATGTGTGGGTTTTGGGCAACTGGGGGGCTTAACTTGGTGCATCACTCTAGATACAGCCTTCTACCCAGGGCACTCTGCTCCTTCCCGGGCATGTCCCACTGACCACCAGGCTCTTCCAAGAGGTGTGTAGCCTCCTTGGGCTTCTCTCAAGGAAGTGAGAGTCCAGCTTCAGTGTTCTCAGTATGATACCCCTAACTGGGACTTTACACACATCTTATTGATAGTTTAAGTGGAGCTTGAAATTGTAGCTTCTTGGTTATTTCAAATACCCTCCCTATACAATACCCTGTAGTCCACAAATATTTATTGTAAAAAGTAGTTTCTTTTGGGAAAAGTATATGTCTTTTCAGAATCTGCCCCAAATATCATTCTTATTGGTGTTCAGAGAAGCTGTATAGTATTGCATGGTGTTTAAGGCCTGGACTCTGGAGCCACCCTGCGGAACACTGGATTTTTCACTCCCCACCTATGTGACCTTGGGGAGTTAGCTAATCACTCTGTGCCTCAGTTTCTTTATAAAATGTGGATGATGGTAGCACCTACTTCATAGGGTGGTTGTGAGGATTCAATGAATTGAAACACTCAAATGCTTGGAACAACATCTGGCACGAAGTAAGTGCGCTGTGTTAGCTATTTGGAGCGTCATAACAATAATTACCCGAAGTACCTATGTGCTGGAAGCGCACCTGTCGGGCCAGTGGATTTAGGCAAGGTAGCCCTTGCCTATGGTAAAAGGCGGAAACATCACTGCCGTGGACAGTTTACCTGCTTCACTGCCACCACTTTCCTTTACCCCGTCAGAGGAATTTAGGATCTTGGACGCTGAAAGGAGAACGCAGTCCACTTCATCCTCTTCCTCGTGATGCTTCTCTGTAGCAGAACCACAGGTGGCCTCAGCTTGGTTGGGAGGCGGCGGCCAAGCGTGCGAGTCGGGCCGCGGGCGCCCTAAGCAGCCACGGGAGGGCGCGCTGGGGCCACGCAGCGCGGCGGGCCCCGGGGCCGCAGGGGCTGGAAGCGAAGGCCGGGGCTGGAGGCGGCGCTCTTCTCCCCGCGCAGCGCAGGGTGCGCGGCTGGTGGGCGAGGGCGGCGCCACGGCGGGGACCCGCGCTGGGGGTGCGGGCGCCCTCCACTGCGCGCCCCCTCCCCAGGGCTCCCCGTCCAGGGACGGCTCCCCGGCCTGGCGCTCACCCGGGCTCATTCCTGCAGCTCAGGGGCTCCTCCCAACTGTCTGCCCCACGCATTCCGCCCACTAGCTTCGCGCCGGCGCGGCCCGTTGCCTGGTAACCGGGTGGCCGGGCGTGGAGCAGCTGCGGTGTGCGCGCGGGGTGCGGCGGGGGTGCGCGCGCGGGGTGCGGCGGGGGTGCGCGCGGGGTGAGGGGAGGTGCGCGCGGGGTGCGGCGGGGCTGCGCGCGAGGGTGCGCGCGGGGTGCGGTGGGGGTGCGGCGGGCATGCGCGCGGGTCTCCCGGGTCCCGGGGGGCGCTGCTCGTCCCGCCCGCGCTGGCCCAGCTGCCTCGCGGCGCGCCCCCCCGCCCCCCCCCCCCCCCCCCGCCTTCTCCGCGGACCAGGACTCGATCTTGATCGTAGGCTGACGCTTAAGACCGCACCTGTTGGACCGCAGCTGTGTGGACCAAGGGAGATGCTTGGAGAGCCCGCAAGCACCCAGGAACTTGCTCTGCTCTTCATTCCATTGTTTTTGTTTTTTGTTTTTTTTTTTTTTTGCTTCCCTCTTCGTTCCCCCCCCCCCCCCCAGTCCATCCGCCGCCCGAGTAGTTTCAGGGTTTGGGTATTTGACCGATCCAAAATACAATACTGTGAAAGGATTTTAGTTTGCTGTGGTGAAAAGATGACCCCTATTTCTAATAAGGACCTTCAAATAATAATGAAATGTATGAAAATGTGCAACTTAAAGCTGTCGCGCACCCACTGATCTCCAGATGTCAAAGCGCGCTAATTTCCTGTGCACCTGCGCAAACCACTTGCGGAAGATGGATGTTGCATTGGAATCTGGAACTTGTTCAGTTAAGGACCGTCTGGCGTGGCTGCAGTCCATACGTTGTGCAGACCACAAAATGACGCTCTTTAAGTAAAGGTTTTAATGAATATATATTACTTATTTTGCAATCGCAGCCGTTACAGATAGACTATAAAATAATTGAAAATTCAAATTTTAAGTCACAATAAGGGATTTAAAGTCATGATACAATGATTTATTATATCATGATTACATGTTTTGCTTTTATGGAAATGAAACTCATCATGATAAGTCTCAATGTTGACTTGCTGTACTTTCTTGTTTCCTATAGAAATAGTCTCTAGAAGATTTGATGATCTTTCTTGTGGCATCGTAGACAATTTCAATAAATTGTGTTTTGAGAATTTATGTTCTCCATTGATGACTGGTAGTGACAAAGCTAGCTTTTTCCCCTGATAGCTACACAAGTTTTCAGCAATGTGTCTGTTAAATTATTACTCTAAATAATTCAGAGTATTTTGAAGTGAGAATGTAGATAAAACACTACTGCAATTTAATAAGGTAATTTCTATACCATTGTCATTTCCATAACAAATATTGTATTTCATGTAACAAATTAATATCTAACAATAATATGTTAATATAATGTAAAGTTCTCTAATAACTCTAATTTGTCTGTGTGATATATGTAGATGATGATGGCAAGTAAATATTGGTTATTACACAGAAATTTCTTGGGGATTTAAATGGGAGGATTTTGCCACACCATTTAGTATAGAATATAAAAAGCAGATGGTGAGGGCAGCCTGGGTGGCTCAGCAGTTTAGTGTGGCCTTCAGCCCAGGGTGTGATCCTGGAGACCCGGAATCAAGTCCTGCGCCGGGCTCCCTGCATGGAGCCTGCTTCTCCCTCTTCTTGTGTCTCTGCCTCTCTCTCTCTCTGTGTGTGTGTCTCTCATGAATAAATAAAATTAAAAAAAAAAAGGCAGATGGTGAGTTACAATGTCAAACTCAAATTTAGCCAGTGCTCTAATTTCAGTAGAGACGTACTTTAAGATACTTCCTCATCAGTCAGAAAGGCAGTTCTTTACTTAGAAGGACAGTTTATTTTAGAAGTTAGGTCAACAAGGCCTTTGGTTTTCAAACTTTTTTTTTTTTGTAAACTAAGTCATGTATATATATTCTCAGAAGAAAAAATAATTCATCAGAAACTTCTTATAATTAACATAAAAAAGCCCATCTTTGAAGCCTACAAAATTATAAAAATTAATACATTAAGAAAAATGTTTTAAATGATAAAATGTCTATGATATGAATGGCATCCTCTCCGAAGAGGCCCCTTGGGTAGGGCCTCACATCAAGACCCTCTTTGCTGATGACGGAGAACTTGCAGGTTGTAAGAAGAGAACATGTCCCTAAAAAATGAGGGTGGATGGTGGACATATCTCTCTGGGGGCATTCACTGCATTGGCGAATATACATTGAGGAAGTCTTATCTGAATACTCGGGATCACTTAAAACTATTGTCACCTATCACAGCCTATACTTGAAATTCTAGTCTGAATCTAGCAGTGATTCAATGACTTCTCCGATCTGACCATGAGTTTACTTCTCTGAACAACAGGGCACCAACAAGATTGTTCTGAGGATTAGTGGGATTCTGTGTGACGGGTCCCACTATAGTAGGTAGGTACAGTAGCTACATAGGAGGGTGACTGTGAACCGGAGCTCTAGACCTCAGAGTCTACGGTGAGATTTCATGAACTGTTGATATCTTTTCCTTATTTAAAAAGATTCGATACTTCAATTAAAAAAGATTCAACAATTCTAGCTCAAAAATAAAAAATGTATATTTTAAAAAGCAGGCAGGTGTGTTGTCTAATTTGTATTGTATGTTAACTTTGTTGATGCGTTTACCAAACTTCTAAAAATTTTACAAGCTTCTAAGTAAATGTACATTTAGATGGCCTATAAAATGTAAAGTCTTCATTATGTTTTATTAAACTATTTTTGATAAGTTTTATAATATTGCTTCCATCTCCCAGAATTAATAATTATAACTATTGACATATTTGGTTTATATTTATTTAGAAAAATTAAAACATTGCATAAAAGTAGACTCCCTACTACCTCCTATCCTGTTCCTCCTCCCCATGTTCTTCCCACAAGAAACCACTATAATGAATTTGGGGTATAGCCTTACAGTCCATTCTTATATTTTTAGAGTAATTACTTATGTATTCATGAGTAATGTAGATGATTGCACTTGTTTGTTTTAAAATTTTTCAGAAACGGTATGATAATTTATGTTTTATTCTGCAGTTTGCTGTTTTTACTCAAAATTGTATGTTTTTTAGGTCTTTCAGTATTAAAAAAATAAGTCTTTAATTGAGTTTTGAAAATGGGCTTGAAATATATTTGAGTTCCTTCAGCATTTTTGCCTTTTTGGTCTCCGTTTATTTATTTATTTAAATTTTTAAAAAAGATTTTGTTTATTTTTGAGAGAGATAAGAGTGAGAGAGTGCATGTGCACATGCGCGCGCGCGCACACACACACACACACACACACACACACACACCACAAGAGTGGGGTGGGGAGGGGCAGAGGGAGAGAGAGGCAGACTCCCTGACAAGCAGGGAGCCCAAAGCAGGGCTCAGTGCCAGGACCTCAGGATCATGACCTGTGCCGAAGGCAGATGCTTAGCCGACTGAGCCACCCAGGTGCCCCAGTGTCCTTTTTTAAAAAAATGTTTTTAAATTATCACCAACTTTTAGTAAAATTGGAGCTACATGCTTCATTTTTTCTTGAAACATTAGGAGGGAGTTGCTGACATAGTGTGCCATTACTCCTGAATATTTTGATATGTATCTTACAAGGACATTCCTCATTATGAGCACAATACAGCCATCAAAATCCAGAAATTGGCACTGACACATTAGTACTATCTAATCTTCAGGCTCCACTCAAGTTCCACTGATTCTCCCAATATTGTCCTTCTGAGCAAAAGGGTTCAGTCCAAATTCTTGCACTGCATGTATATGTCATGACATGCATCTTTAATCAGAGTCTCATAGACTCAGTTTCCTATTTTATTTGGTGGATTGCAATTGATTATCTTCTTTTGCTAACGTGATCAATACTGTTGCTTAAATTTTCCTAGTTGGGTCAGTGGGCATTTTTTTAGCTGGCTTCTGTGTACTTTTGACATGTCTCCTTTATCACTAGAGCATTTTGTCATTTTTTTTTTTTTTTTTTGGCTAGACAACCAGATGTTCCAGTCTCATCCCATACTTTCCCTACCCTCACCTTGAAATCAGCCCTTTACCGAAGGCTTCAGCCTTGGTTTCTTTTAGAAGAGAATGGTATTTAGGAACTAGAATGTGAGTGTGAGGTGTGAGTGTTGTTATCTGGTTATAGCTGCTCCGGGGCCATCTTAGTGGACAGAGCTGGGGAATCTCTGTACGTGTGTGTGTATGTGTATTTACATAGATATGTGTACCTATATTTGCATATCTGTGCACACATACATAGACACATCCATCTCCATATACATATACAAACACATGAACATTCCAACTATATTTAGTTCTCTATCTCTGTGTACTGAGAACCACGAGTTCATGATACCTCCAATTCCAGTCCAACATCACAGTCTCCTTCTAGTCTTCTCTCTTTCCATATTTGTAATTTCCCTTGCCAACAGTGAGAAAGTTGACTCCCATTATCTTTTATATGTTTACTTATATGAGCAACACCTTTGTAGATATCCATTCTCTCAATGCCAGTCTCTCACCAAGTCCCCATGTGGAGGCTCTGACTACTTACTGATGCCAGTGCTCCCCCACACATGGGTGTTCCCTGGTCCCTCTTTGGGAATGGATACCCAGTGTCTGCTTTTACAAGGTTGTGAAATGATTCCTCCATTTTTTTCCTAAAAGCTGGATTGTTTTACCTTTCATATTTAGATTTACTAATTCATCTGGAATTGATATATTTTTAAAGGTTTTATTATTTATTTGGGAGAAAGAGTAAGTGAGGGGGGGCATGAGCAGGGGGAGAGGGAGAAGCAGACTCACCACTGAACAAGGAGCCAGATGTGGAGCTTGATCTCAGAACCCTGGGATCATGACCTGAGCCGAAGGCAGATGCTTAACCGACTCAGCCACTGAGGTGCCCCTGGGAATTGATCTTTATATAGAGTGTGAGGTAGGTGTCAACATCCATT